AGCAACCACCGAAATCGACGGTTTTTTTGGCAACGTTTGATGCACTTGGGTGGGCCTTGTGCCAGGCTAGGCGTGGTAAAAGCGCGCCCGCTACTTCAGGATAGCGTACGGCCCTAACTAAACAATTGGGAGTGGCACCACGCGCGCGAACGCTAAACAGGGAAGCTGAAACGGTGAACGGCGTTTCGCCTTTTTCCCGTTTTCCCCCCTTCCCCGTTTCTCCGTTCGAACGCCGTTCAACGGTTGAACGGTGAACGATTTTTTGGAAACGTTTTTTTGACTTCTACTGTAGTATGTACATACACATAAATGTGTAGCCTGACAATGTCATTGGTAATAAACTCACTGCTACAGTTTGCATACGTAATGTTTGCAGCCTCGACAGTGAATGAAGGATGGGGAGCACTCTGTCTCTGTATTGTATGTAGGTACAGTACAGTGTTTGTATACATGTACATACCTGGACGCCGTGTAGCTGGCAGACGATGTCTTGTTCTTGGCGTTGTTGCAGGTGAGGTTGCAGAGGACACCGGCCGTGCAGGTGACCGTAGTGACGTCGTTAGAGGCAAGGAGGACTATCAACTGCCGCAGAGGTCGTCCAGATGGTCCTGCGTACACACCAGAAGAACACAGGCACAACTGGGTCCTCGCAGTGTGTGACGCAGACTTTTCAGGAGATAGATATAGAGTGCCAGCGAACCGCAGACCACACGATACGTCACAGTGCGTGACGCTGACTTATCCAGACTGTATAGTGGGCCAGTGCGAACCGCAGACGCACACTATTGTTGCAGAACTGTATTTTGTAAGTGGTTCATTTCAGTTTGTGTTTCATGGCTCACGGACCGTGGAACCATGTACAACTACAATTACGCACAAAAACAGTTATGAACGCTAACATAAAAGCTACCGACAGACTCATAGAAAGATTTAAACACTGTCTACTGTTGTACTATGTTGCCCACAATGCAGTACATGTATAAAGGTACAGTTGTACATGTAAAGGTGTCATGTATACAGTGATTATAAAACACACCTGTTTAGTGGCCATGTCAGAGAGATTGCGGAGTGTGTGGAGAATGTTGTGGACTAGTCGAGTTGAGCGGTGACCAAGATGACGAGATAGCGCCTGCATCCCTCCAGCCTGACAGAGGAGAGGGAGAAGTGAGAGAGGGAGGAAGGAGTGACAGAAGGGGGGAGGTAGGGAAGAGAGAGAGGAAGGGTGCCAGAGAGATAGAGAGAGGGAGAAGAGAGGGAGAGAGAGAGGAGAGAGAGAGAGAGAGAGAGAGAGAGGGAGGGAGAGAGGGAGAGAGGGAGAGAGAGAGAAGAGAGGGAGGAAGGAGTGCAAAGAAGGAGTGAAGGAAAGATGGAGGAAGGAGAGAGAGGGAGTGAAAAGTTTGGTCAAAAAGTAGGGTCGATCCACACATACACTCTTTATATGACGTAATGTTCTGGAGAATTTGCCAGTCACAGTGGTGGTAACCAGTGGCCAAATCATGTGTGCATGCAGTGCCACACAACTATATATGCTACAGTGTGCATCATGTGATGCAGACCTGAACAATCTCTGGCTTGTTGCTGGGGCAGACGGAGAGGACCTTGAGGAGTCGACTGCAGGTCCACAGCAGTTTCTCGTAGGATAGAGTCTCATGATCCTCACCAGGTTCACTGGACTCACTGGCCAGGATTTCAGCTGCAGGAACACCACCAGTCACAAATTGCTTCACAACTGTGCTGGACAGGCCCAGTATGCTAGGAAACGATGAGGAAAACTTCCATGGATTAGTAGGAAATAACCTTTTGCACGGTGCTACACCACAATGACCATAATGTTTTGATTCCTGATTTGTCCTGATTATGCTATCCACAGGTGTTGAAAAAACCCAGGTTCATATGGATGGGAAAGGTTAGGGTCACATGATTATCATGCAGACCTCTATTTTACAGATAGAGACTTTACATGTTGCTTAGTCTTTGCCCAGTTACACAGTTACAATACAAACACTTCGCATTTGTCTATAACAGAACACAGTAGAAGGCCTAAATCATTCATGTGCCTGTATTGCCGTTTGAGATCTGTTTTTGTACATAATTCTCTACTATTCATTCTCTAATGAAAAGCACTGAAGTACAAACCCTCGGCGCATTGTGACATGACGCGCACCCGTAAGCAAACGTATGCGCCGTACCACTAATTGATGGGCTGGGTTTAGTTTTAGCTGTTACTCGTGGTCTCTTGCCAGCTCGCGCAGAGTCTGACGCGGGCTAACTACATACTAGATAGCACTCGCGAGGAAGCGGATACACGCCCTGCGTTGCATCTTCTGGTGCCTCCGAAGTACGCAGAGCACGCGGATCGATCCGACTGTGGTAAGCCATCCCGTCCGTTGTGTATTTGCATATTGGCTTTTTCGCGCTCTAGCTTTGCAACGGAGCATTTTTTGAGAAAACTGCACAAAAGTTCTGACCTTCATTGGCTGTTAAGTGTAAGTCGTATCGTTTGTGAGACAAACGAACATTGGAGAAGTGAGATGTTGAGTAACAGACACACAGAAGGACAGACAGACAGACAGACCCAACTACTGTACCCTCGCTGCGCATGCGCGCCGAGGGTAACTACATGTGTAAGGGAGGTTGGGACACTGGGTGTGTAGGGAGAGTTGGGCCCCTTTAACCCACCGCCCCGGTTCTCAAGGCTGGGCACCCAGGGTCCTGCCTCTACTCTTTCTGTTTATATGTTGTTGTCTGACATTTATTTTTTCTTACACGTGTATATGTCGTGCGTTATTTAGAGTAATCGCATGTTTTTTCTACCTACAAGTTGCATCGTGGTACTGATTTCCTATTTCACATGTGCACAAACGACATTCATTATAACACACAATGCGCGCAAGAACAAACAGAAATACATACAAACACAAAGTGACCCTCAAGGCACTACAATTGTGTTTAAAGTGTACCTATGAACCAAGTGAACTGCTTAAGCACTTGATAAAGACGTGTCCCCCGACAAACTGGACCTTCACGTTGTGTGTCTTCATGGCAATGACGCTGGCCCCTGTATCCCCTCACCTGTGAACCCTCCTGCTCTCAGACTGCAAGTCACCGTACAGACTACCTGCAGACATACGAGGGGAGATGTTTTATGGCAGTGAACAACAAGTGGTTACCACAGCGTGCACCGACTTTCGCACGCACTCTATGTAATATATTCCACAGGTTGGCATTGTAACTGGGATAAACATCTGCTATAATAAATCAGTAATTAGACAACTGGTAGGCTCATTTTGCTCTCACATAATACATTGGAGCCTCCCATAACGGACCCTCCGAGAAGCCGACAACACACTAGAATGGATTGAAACTACACATTGAGATGAGGTAGGTGGAAACGAGGGGAACGGATAAGACAGACTAAGATGGAGGCAAAGTTAAGGAACTAAGAGGAGAGGAAGCTTGAAGGGGAAAGACAAGAAGTGCGGTAAAAAGAAAGGGGGAGGTATTGGGAGGAAGGAGGATGAGAAGGATACAAGCGAGCTAATACATTAGAAACCTCCGATAAGAGGACTCATTTTGCCTCCTAGATTCGGACAATGGACACCAACGCGTGCCCAGGACTGACTCAGCCCATACATTTTTTTGCCCCCGAGAAGCAGACCGAGAAGCCACTCCCACTGCACTCGGACCCCCTCCAGTTGAAGAGTGAGCCCACACGCTATAGTTGCAAATAGCATCGCATCGTGGGTTTACGCTAGTCTTTGCCCCGCCAGCAAGCGAAAGGTCCTAGGACTGGTACGCACCCATCCCGTCGCAATCTGTGCTTTTTTTTATATCCTTGCGCTGTGTAAGCTATTCATCTCCATCTTCATTTTGTATAATCATTAAATTGTGTTAATCCATTTTAAACCATCCCTACCATCCTCTTTTTTAAAATTTGCAAGATTTTTTATTTACTTGTACTAGTACTACCGTCCTTAGTGATCAATGTCCAATTAGTTGTTGCTAGCATGCAGTGCAACTTTGGAGGTGGATTTTCAACTGCGCAAATTAAGCTCATTCAGTTAATATTACACAAGCGTCATAATACGTAATACGTAGGTATAATTATGGTACATGCTCCTGCTTGTCAATTAGAATACAGCGTGCGCGTAAGTTGAAGACTATGCTGAAGGTGTCTTAATGTAAACCTGTGATTGTGGTGTGTGTACAGTGTGTTTACTCTACAACTAAAGTCCAAATAAGGTTTCCTCCTGGCAGACTCTAGCAGGTGTCTGTGTGATAAGCCTCATGGTACACCACCATGGACGTTATTTTTCAATTTGCGACACTATAGCAGTCATAAAGAGTTAGTCTGGAAGCGACGCAAGTGAAGCTTAGAGCTGGACATGAAGGTTTGCATAGAGAGATCATTGCCAACACCTTTGCTCAGTCAGTGTCCTGTCTGCTAGTCAAGGTGCTCCAATTAAGCTGTTCAAATAAAGCTAGCACGTCTATTATGTCCACTGCAGCCGGAGGATAATCGTGAAATGTGTCTGTTTATGCTAGTGTACATAAGAGTGGTGTGTACAGTGCCCTGTAGATGATACTCTGCCACGACAACAGGGTTAGCCAGCTGGCATAAACAGACTCTGTAGTGGGTCTGTTCCATCACGCTCAGGCAGGGTCCTACAGCATGCTAATAACAGGCAAAAAATGCTCGTCCTTCGCCCCATTTCAAGGAAAAAAACCTTTGGTTATGAAATCATGGTAAAAAGCTCAACGACACTCTACTGTACGCTGCCCTGGGATGAAACACAGGACACACTGCCCTCTAAGGTGTACACCCAAGTATAATACAGTGTACATGAAAAAACATGTTTATAGCATACTAGCTCAGAGGAAAAGAAAGAACCTCCCCCACCCAAGCACACAAAACACAGACAATAACATACCCAAGCGTACAAAAACACAGACAATAACATATAAACAGAAAGAAAGAGGCAGGACCCTGGGTGCCCAGCCTTGAGAACCGGGGCGGTAGGTTAAAGAGTCTTTTATGGGCCCAACTCTCCCTACACACCCAGTGTCCCAACCTCCAGTGTACACGCACGAGCTGCCAAAATCCCACTGGTGTGTTACTGTATATGTACTAACATTACCCGTGCAGACACCAGTGACTTTCTCAAGAAGTCCTCTCATCCACGTGTTTCCTGACCCTGGAAAACTGGCCAGTGCCACGGGGAGCCGTCCACGACCGTCCAGGAACCGACACGAACCGTTCTTCACCGTCCAACTTTTGCATCTGTCTCTCGCATTTATCGGTACACTTGGAGAACTGCTGGTCCTCAGTTGGCGAGAGGCTGCGTCCGACAAAAGACGTCCGTTGGCGGGCAAGGTTTGCTGAGTCTCCCTGCATCAGGTGTTGTGGTACGGTGCCTCGATGGGACAGGGAAACGTCCGCTGCCATACTTTAGCCTTGGTATTGAGTAAGTAGAAGACTCTGTGGGGAAGGGAGACATTGGACTGCCCTTTCTGAACCCTCCTTCTCTCTGTTTGGCCCTAGAAGGTTTGCTTACTATGGGTTTGGAAAAGGATGCCTTAGGTGCTCCCAACGTTGTTGTTGTTGTCGTGATGCCGGCTGGCGTGGAAGACGGTTGGTTTACAGTAGGTTTGGCTTCCCTGGAATAGTACGGCTTAGGCAGCGTCTTCGATGCTGACGTCGCTCCCAGTATCCCCAGTACACCTCTCAGACGATGCCTGGAGCTTCTGCTGCAAGGTTTACCGCACCACCCAACATCCAGCCAGGCGGCGCTGAATAGCGTGGCCGTTAGCGCAGATCCGAGAATGAAGGCAAAGAAAAGTTTCAGTCTTTGGTTTCGTCGTGTAATCATCATCTTTTCACTCCCGCCAGCGGTGTAGTACGCTCCCTCTCACCCAATCAGTTGAGCTGAGCCGGTCGATCACAGCTATATAGTCCATCATGGTCGTCATTATTAAATGCACACCGCCTACGCGCGCACGCGCGCGTGTGCACTGCCACACCCCCACGGGCATGGCCGGCATGCATATATAAGTTCACATCACGCGCATGCGCACACATGAAGCAAAACCGACAATGACATTGCAGGAGTACAGTGTAGAAGACTTAGAGTGTTGCTCATACAACATGATAGCCTCTGAGGGCATGTGAACGCCATGGAAATTATGTATCCGCTGGTGACACAATATTATTAGGAAAGAAGTTTGCAATTGTCTCAGATGTCAGGGTCGAACCAGGGTCCACCGGGAGCTGAGGTGTCCATGACAGCAGGAGAGGGAGGGTTGTAGCTCTGGTTGAGGCCATAGCCTAGAGCACGGAGAAGGAAAGAAGTAGAAGGTGTATACATAATAGTTAGACGCTGATTCGAGGTAACTACGCGCAGTAGAAAGCCGAGAGCCCCGGCATTGTGGCGCCCCGAGCGCAGCGAAGGCGCTACCCCCGGGGCACGAGGCTTTCTATGGGCGCGTGGTTACCGAATCAGCGTCTAACTATTTTAGAGTGAGCGCTTCACGTTGAGCGCTCTGGCTTTCCTGTTCGTTTGTATGGCGGAGCGCTTCTAACGACGACTGGATGGAGACTGGCTCAGAGCCCCAGAAAATGCAGTGCAAGAAGAGCGAAGCGGCCGAGGACACGCGGTAGCGACTCCGCCTTCTTTTTCTGGTTGTGCGCGTGACGGTTCTGCGCGTGCGCGTAGACGACGCGTCAATGCACATTCAGTTGTTGATTACATGTACATTATGTTATGTTTTCCTGTTTTAACTGTAGGTTTACTATTAGTAAACCCCATCGAGGTTTACTACGGGAAATAGTAAACCTTGCCTTTGCAATCTGATTGGTCAATTCAAACCTAGCTCACTCTAAATATACATGATAATAGCTAAGGCATGGGCTTATCCGTTAGTCCCTAGTGGAACCTCTAAATAGAGATGGAGACAGTGTCATTTCACTGGTGTTTCCCCCATATGCTGACCTTGCTGTCGATTTATGGTCTCACAGAGGGGAATAGGTCATGGAAGTTTATTTGGCCCATCAACACACAACCAGTGAATGGAATGACTCTGGAGAGATGTGTATCGGTGTGTCGCAGCCACATACCACGAACTGAATCCAGCGTTTGGCCTTTATTTGTTTGTCCTCCATTACGTGATTGCCTATGAAAATCGGTCCTTAGATTCATTCACCGAGGTTTGGAATCAAAACCTATTTGTACAGAGCAATGTGGAGCCCAAGAAAGATATGGATAAATGGAGTTCTAAGAGAGGCAGGGGAAGGCCACCACAT